AACAGCCAACTCTTTAGCCCGGTAACTATGAAGTGGGCATCTGTAAATACAGAAGCCACCATCTGACCTAAGTACCAAACCTGTTATGGGAAGAAGTTGCCCTGATTGGTTCTACTGAGGGAAAGATGACTTGAGCCAGGAACATCTACCTACACTAGAGCTGGAGAGTTCTCTCTACTACAGCAAACTAGGAATTCTGGACTCTGCGGGGTGGGGCACTGGAGGATTCCATTTTCCTTTCAACTCTCACTGCAAAACGGGAGATCAATTCCAGCATGCACCTCTGTTTTTACTATGTTGTCTTCCAATTAATGTGCTTTCAATGGCTTTCTATTTTCAAGTTCCGGTCACCTGCCTGCCTTCCAATGCTCCTGCCCTACTCTCCGCTTCTGCCCAATATGTGCCTCGCCAGGCCAATGAAAATTCTGATTCTAAAGCCTGCACTCTCTTTTCACCCAAATTGTTGGTCTCCACCAATGTCTCTTAGCTTCCTACAGCACACCGGCCTTGAGGGTGTCTTTTTCTGCTTTGAGTTACTGTGGGCTCAGGAAGTGCAATCCACTTTTGCTATCAGACCAAGCCAAATATTCACAACAAAATAAACCTGTTACAAAATGAACAGCTCACACATCTGACTTTGAAATAGAACTCAAGGTCCTTGAAGGCGCATCTGGCAGAGAGCTTGGCCAGAGTAAGACTCTCAAGCGTTTGTCAAATTAATTCTCCAAGCCAAACGGAATATTTAGATTAGTCCTGATATTTCCCCCTCCACTGACCTAAGGGATTATTCATTGCGGCTTCAAGAGGTCTCTGTATATATAGGAAAGATACTGCGCATGGAAATCAACCTCCTAAATTCAGAGGACCATCTCAAACCACTGTTCTGCTAAGATAATGCACCGTAAAGAGATAAGACCAGTGACAACCACTGCTGAGCAGGGGTGAGCCTCTCACCAAGGGCACCGGGAAGACCATCCCCTTAGCAGACGCCCTGACAAAGGACCCTGAAAAGTTGTTCAAAAATTGGGCACCTCATAATCAAAGCATCAAGTAACCCTTTAAAAATACTAAGAAAAATGTAAAGGACAAAAATCACTTTTTCAAAAACCTCCTATGACAGTAGTAAACCCAGATGATACTAATACAATACATAATGGAGATGTATGAAGGAGACTTCTGCTGTCTGCAGCTGCTATTCAGGGGAATGTGATCTGAAATCTACATTCTGGTTAAAGTGAGGCATGTTGCAATAGCTTCTATTAAACAGAACACGCTTTCATAACTATTTTTTGTGCACATGCGTGTGCACACACACACACATTATTTCTTTTTGTTTTCCTTACCACGAGTTCATTTTTCAAAACTGGCAAAGTTGGATGTCAGAGCCAATGTTTTAGGCTTAAGTTTTCGCTGTGCTTTTCTTTACAGTCCATTGCCTGGGGCCAAGTAATTTTTTTTTTTTTTTTTAAGTATTCAGAAACACATGCTACTGTAGTTGCTGTTCTAACACCCATGTGGAACCAGTCCTCTGGACTTATACATTCATTCTTAGAAGCCTGGAGTATGCAAACAAAGATGCAGTGGGCCAAGGGCCAGTTAATAAATTTCATTTCCTACGAGCATCTGCATGAAACAGAGCTATAGAGCGTCGCCCCTCCCAGGAGAGCAAGAGCTCGACTGGTTCGCTCTGTGAATTAAACAGTCACCTCAGATGGCCCACACCACATTTATTTTGTAGACAGCTCTTAAAATATATGGATTTCTATCACTCATATATGCAATGAGGAAGCTGGGGCTGAGAAGGCGATCACACAGGAGTGGACATGAGCCGTGGAAACACGTCCAGTCAGCTCTGCTGAGCAATTTTTGCACTTGCTCTTTTCAATTGAAATTGCTAATGGAAGGGTAATTTTCTAAAGGAAACTTGCTCTGCTAATCGAAGTGCACTCTGTTTCAATAATGATTTACCACACCCTCTAGTCCAGTCTGTAAAAATGGGTTCTGTTTATACCAAGAGATACCTGGATCAAGATATCTGGGTGTGAACCATATTTGATCCTTATTTATAAACAATCTCGTGCAAGTGTTATGACAATAATGTCTCCTCCTGGGAAGAGTGACCACTTGCCCCCAGATGGAGCCGGAAAGAACAGTCTTGTTCTCTGGTTGTCTGCTTCTCCTCTCACCTGTGCTCCCAGCCAGGTGAGGGGTGTTCTTGTCCTGCAGTACCTGGAAGAGTCCCCTTTCAGTAATAACTGCACTCTTCTTATATTTACATACCTCTTAAGATGGTGTTTGTTTTAAATATTTGAAGTTAACTTCACAAAAACTTTTACAAGAATGGGATGAGAGAGTCTATATGTAATAAGAAACGGTAGAAAATAAAGCCAAAGATTGAAGGACCTGCTGCGGCCCTACCTAGAAGTCAGTAAAGGAACCACAAAGAGAATTCCGTGTGATACTCCCAGGGCTCTCGGCTGACTCAGGCCCCTCCATGGCACTCCAACAGAACTCTCAAGCTCACCTCATTGTTGGGGGCCAAAATGAACCTACAGCCAAAGTAAAACTTATGTGGTTAAATCTCTCCTCTGGCTTTCAAATTGCCTTCCAAGTTTCCTCAGCAATTAAATGGCAATATTACTCCAGTCTCAGGACGCCAAAATAATTATGGAACACTTCCTGGATAGAAAAACGTGTCACATTTTTCCTTCCCCTCCACCCCTCCAAAAAAATAAGTGGTAGTTATACTACGTTGGTCATCCACTTTGAAAGAAAAGCAGACCAAGGAAAATATCAAGTGTGTCTGTCTCCATGTGCACTCTTTACAAAACACAATACAAATGTAATTTTGGAGTCTTCTTTCTTCATTTAACCTATGACATCTCTCACTATAGCATCCAATACTCCTATTATATAAAATACAAAGGCGATGATGCTCTTAGTGACTTAAGATTTTGCTCAGTCAGATCTTTATTCAAATTCAGTTTTGTTTTTCACATAATGTCAGGTACCATACAGGGACTCAGACAGCAAACTGGAAATAGTTCAGGAAATGGAAATAATAACTTGGACTGAATTTAAAAGGTGAATAAATTTTTATTTTAAAGCAATAATTCATCAACAAAAGGTAGCATTTAACCTTTCTACCAAATGATTTTTCCACTGCCATTGCAAGTTCGTTCATATGACTAATAAAACCCAACCAGGCAACTGCCTTCGTTCGGCCCATGTGGTAAAATTCGAACTCTGTCTTAAAAACAACTGCTACCTAAGTGCCAGAGATGAAATCACTGAAGAAATATGGGCTTCAAGTTTATCACCTATAAGAGCAGTTTAAATAAGTGCGGTTTAAAAGCAACTCAGAGTTTTTGTTTTTGTTTTTAAATTCTACTTTAAGCTTTGGAATGTCCAGAGAAAGGTGGAGAGAAGTAAAGGAGAGAAGGGACCCAAAGTTCCAGTCTCATGGGTCTCCAAAAGGAGAGTCCCAGAGGCTGTGGACCAATTTTGGTTTATATTAAGCAAATTTATATTAACCAATTTTGGTTTATATTAAGTGCTTGGTTTAACCAGCACTTGGAATCTCTAAGGATGCCATGTCAACATATTACTTGGAACCATAGGCATGAGATTTTGGTGACCTCATGGGCACAGCCAAAATTAACTCCCACTATTTATGTAACTGCCAGAGATGACAGGGCAAAGATTGCTTATAATTTTTTTTTTTTTTTCAGTCAGCTCATAGCATTTCTTTGGTCAAAGAGAGAGGATGTGGGGGTACTTTTGGCTCTATTTTTAAAATATGCAATATTTATACACACACAGACTAGTCTGCCCATAATACCATTTGAATGTTTAGATGAAGGCATTAAAAAAAAAAGTTATTTCCTGTTGCTCGCTGAGAGGATGCATTTCAGAGGTATGTGTGCTCTGCCTCAAAGCAAAAGCATTGTTAGCGGTTATCAAGGTAACATTTAAAAATAACTACCCCAGTACAAAAGAACTTCAGAGGAAATATGAGCGAAGCTATCAGTCTCCCTTAAAGACTGGCCTTGAGCTGCATTAGACTCTAGCTGCATTCTCCATTACATTGTTATCCTTATCAAACAATGCAAACAATTTTAATGAGCTTATCTACTAGAACATATTGCCAGATATGCTAATGTAAAAATGATGCCAACCTGTACAGGCTGCCTCATTAATCAAAAGGCTCACAACACAATGACCAAGATCAGTCCCATCCTCAAATCAGACCTCAGCAAAATACCAGGAATTACCTTCCTACTGTAAATAAGAAGGGCGGGCTCCCCCACCCATGCGGAGGCCATAAACTCCTAAGAAAATGCATAACGGCACCCAGTTCTTTTCAGGTCCATTGCAGTCCAGTCTCTTTCTAATAAACCTTGGGTTCTAATGGAGAAAATTTTGGTGAATGTCTGACACCGTGACCTCTGCTGTCAATCCTTGCACCAATCAGCGAGCTGAATTCTTACAAAGCTCCATCAATCTGGCGGTTCAACACCACAGACTGCAGCTTAATCTAGAGGATTCCATCTTTCCTGCACACACGCACACCAGGGCAAGCGCAAACCTTTTCCTCACCATCCTCCTGGTTCCCTGTCTTCAGGCACAGCCTACCTCATGGTTCCTTTAAAAGCTAAAAAGGAAGGAGGAAAGGAAGTGCTCCAGCCTGTCTCCCTTTGGAGAGGGGGAGAAAATTGCTTGCATTTTGAAATCAATGTGGAAGGAAAGAGATGGAGGGAGACCCCTTGCAGGCAGCAAACCTATTCACAAAATGCTTTCCATCTGCAATCGGGAAGCCTCCGTGCACACCCAACATGACACATGGAAACAGATAGCAAATAATCACAACCGCCTTTACAAACGCCCGTCTGCAGCCGGGTCCGGGGGCAGCGTCTGCTCCATTACATAACGGGCGGACTTCCGCGCGCCCGCCCGCCGCGGTCCCCCGCCCGGCGCCGCTCCGGTGCCAGCCCCATTACCTGTAGGAACGCTCCCCGCGCACTGTGTGCTTCCGGAAAGGAATGATGGTCCCGTTATCCTGGATGATGTCGTTGTTGTTCTCGCCATTTGGGGACAGGGTTTGGGTCGGCCCGGGCATTGGCGCACTCCCGAGGATGGGAACAAACCGCTGTGGGCTGGCTGGTGAGGAAGGTGGCTGCGTCTCGCCTTCCCGCTCGCCTGCTCCTCGCGCAGACCGCGCCTGCCGCCTGCTCGCTGCTCGCAGCTCCCTTCTCCTCTTCGGATCCCGCCCCGCCCTCTCGAGGCCCGCCCTCCCGGCTGCTGACGTCAAAGCGCCGGCAGCAGCACCCTTGGTCACGTGGCCCGGCCCATCCCCATAGCAACCCGCTAACTCATCACCTCGTCTTGATTAGCGCTGGGCCCCGGCGTGACCACGCGAGCGGCTCCAAGCAGGCACCCGGGCAGGCCTACATCTGGCATGTAAAACCCCAGGCCACCCCCGGCCCCCCTCGCAGACTCGCCTGGGTCTGAAAACCAGCTCTTCCTCTAACCATTTCCTTTCCAACCCGAGCTCCCACTGCAGCTGTGTACACAAAAGAACGATTCAGGCAGAGGGGTGTGGGAGACCCTTTAACTCCTTCAATACCAAGTTCTTGTGTCATGAAAATTAAACTCCGTCTGGTTTCAGAAAAATATAAGACGACCTGGTAGCCTCCTTCTAGAAAGTATATCAGACTAAGGGGTTAAAACTTCCAGGTTCCTCCCCGATTCTCCAAACAGCAGCAGCCGCCTCCCCGAAAGTAGCCCCAAACCTGAAAAGCTAAGAGGAAGCTGCATTTCCTTCTAATCAATATACCTTTACGTTAATAATGAGAAGATCAAAGATTGCAAATTAAGAGATTTTCTGTACAAAAGAATCCCCAGAGTTAAAAAAATAAAAAAGATAACCACCATTTTAGAACATCATGATTACACACGACCTCCCAATTCAAATTCTTATACTGTCTCCTGATGCACATAATTAAGTCCTTGTCATGTATTTTATTTTCTTTGAATTAAACACGTGAACATCCAATTTAGTATTTGGAGGCTCTCAACATTCAAGCTGTTCTGTATCATTGCAATGGAGCTTTCAAATACATTGGCTAGGAGCCAGGTGCTATTATTATTACCATCCCTATTTTAAAGATGAGTAAACTAGTGAGATTAAGCAACATGCTCAAGGTCACACAGCCAGGAAGTAGTGAACTGGAACTTCAAAATGACATGCTTTTATCAATGTGATTGGACAGTGGTGGTCTATGTTTAATGTGAACTCATAAATGTTACAGATCAAGGTAAGAATCAAGTACTTTACGTACTTCTCAACATGACCACTGTGAAAAGAGAGCCGTGAATAGAGTTGCTAGTACTGTGCAAAGTGTATGGATTAGATTATAAATTCTGAACAGATTCCAGATGTGTCCAGTGCTTTCCTTCAGAAAGAAGAAGGGAGTTTGAAGGATTCTCTGCTTATCAAAAGTGGTCTCTGACCCTTTGTGGGGTTGGAAAGGAAGGAGAATTGGAATGTAAAAGACAGAATAAATATATGTAGCAGAAAGTACTAGGCTCATGCCTTCACATCACTGTATGGCTTACCAGCTTTATCATTTTGTGATACAGATGTTAAAACAAGTAAAAAAATTTGTCATTCCTGACAATTCTCCAGCATATTTCCCTGGTAATAAGTTATTTCTGGCATCAAGCTCCTAGAATTAGAGTCAAATGGTTTACAACCCAGATGGTAATGATAATCTTAAATAAGGGGGCATTTTTTCCTATTCTGTATTCTCCTTTTGAACTATATTTTAATAATTTTATTTTCTACTTTCTCCAGTGAATTCACAGTGCACAAGTTGATTCCTTCATCCATATCTCAACTTACATGAGAATTTTTTTTCATACAATAAGGATCCAATTCTGACCTAAGACTTCACAAGGTACAACAGATAAATATCTGAGTACAAGAGATACACAGCAAGCCTCACATTGCACAGTGAGCTAAAGGGGCATGAGAGTGTAGTTACTGCTACAAAGATCAACACTTCCTCTTACTATTTCTGTTACTTGACCCATGGCTGTTAATTTCCTTACTAATCTGTTCCCCTTCACAAAAGCTTCCCCTTTCTTTGGGAACAGTCTGAAGTTAAAAGGCACAGTCTACAAATCAAATATTTAATGTTTTCCGCATACACTCTCTCATTTGGGGCTCTTTTGGATAGCTTTTTTTCCCATGATCCCATATTTAAGTAATAGGTTACATAACTGGTGTTATCCTAGGGACTATGTTTGTCAGAATTTGAATGTATATATAGATCATTGGTTATACCAACTAATTTTGTGGAGGGAATACTCCCACTGTTTCTGGGCTGTCCATGAAAAAGAGGACCATGGCCAGGAATTTGGGTGAATGGGCTGAAAGGGGAGGGGTAGTGAGGCAGGTGGAGGAGGTACCTAAGAGCCTTGTAAGTCTTCCACCAGCACTGCTCTGAACCACACCACTCTAAAGGGACCCAGAGAGCCCCCAGAGACTTGTGATTACCCTCCGAGTTGCAGGGGTAACAGGGGTAATAATTTGAAAATATTAAACAGATGTGTTTTCATTCCTCTCCCCATAAATCAGGCTACCTGGCAGCCATTCTCCAGTTTAGCCCTGGGGAGAAGGGGAAGGCACATTCCACTTTGGGAAGGAGGATGCTAGGACAGAGGGAAACGCCAAACAGGCAGGAAGAGGGCGGGGAGAGTACCCTTTCCAACCCCAAGGTTGGAAAGAAGCAGGCTGAAGTGGGAAAAAGCAGAATCTCCCACCTCCGGGTCCCTGAAGGGAGACGTTAGAGAGGTTTTGGCTTTGTTCTCAGCCTAAGGGGATTTCTTTTGCCTAATGAGGCAGAAGTCCCATTTGAGACTCTGGGAAGAGATGGCTTTCAAAGAGTGTCTCCCCAACACCTTCCTCCCCAATCAAGGTGCAGCCTCATCACTAGCCTCAACACACTAAAATCAGTGGCTTGGTACAGTTAGGCAGAGAACCCAGGGAGAGAGGAGGACATCTAAAAGACTGAATATTCACCCAAGAGATTGAGTGCTCCAAAGACAGCCTAAACTGGAAGAGGCTGTAATACTGTGAACTTTTTAAAACCTTTCATTTCCCATCCCCCTCAGCGGGGTCAAGAGAGTCGCACAGATCACATACACACAAATAAGCTAAAATGTCTCGTGTACATCTGACTGTAGGTTAAGCTTTGTCTTATGTACACAGATGTATCTAAAATAAAGTATATCCAGACCATCATCCTACATCTCCAACTGCCCCATAGAGAAATGGCTCCTCTTACGAAGCCTCATGGATTGAAGCTGGGGCTCTGGCATCAGGCAGACTTGGGTCCCCGGCTTGGTTTCACCACCTGCGGGCTATGTGACCCTAGCAAGTTACTCTGCATCTCTAAGATTTAGTTTCCTCATCTATGAAGTAGGTGTAATAATACTGGTTTCATAGTGTTGCCGTGAAGATTAAATTACATAATACAGTTGAAGCAATTGACATAGTCTCTGGCCTATAGCAAATGGTCTTTAGTGGTAGATGCTATTTTTAAACAATAAGTGAAGCATACTCTGAAATGTTCATTCACTCATTCACTTGACACATATAGCTGGATTTCTTGTGTACTACAAGCTGGTAACATAAGAAGAAAAGTCCCAGGCTCTGTCCTCAAGGAACTCAGAGCTGTAGATGAGCAAGATGAAAATATCGGCAATTATGACACAACATGATGCTGTGATAATGGCACCATACGGTGTGATATAGAGCCATAGAAGATGAGCACCTAATTCAGAATGGAAACTGGGAAGTAGGTCTGAAACGTTTCCCCAAGGAGCTATTACTTAAGTCTTGGGTGAGTAATAATTATAACCTTTTTTGTTCACTTTCTCTGTGCTAAACAGAATACAAGATCCCTTAGGGAGGGGCTTCCACTGCTTTGCCCACTGCTATATCTTCGGTTCTCAGCATAAGGGCTGGCAGGTAGTAGGCACTACATGAATACATAATTCACTGATTCAACAAATATCTGATTTGATTCTCACAATGACCCTAATGATGAAATTGAGGCTCAAAGAGCAAAAGCAACTTGTCCAGGATGTCTTGACCCCAAAGTTGACATGCTGCTCCTCTAGGCTCTACTGTCATTTAAAAGAGGAACGGTAGTGTAGAGGGGAGACAAAGGGCTTCTCAAGCAGATATACTTAGGTACAGAGGTACGAAAGGGTGTGATATCCCTGGGAGACAGCAAGTTGTTTAGTATGGATGGAGAACAGAGTGCACGATGGCAGAGGACAGGGCCAGGACCAGGTGCAGGAGGGGCTGTGGCCAAGCTATGAAGCTTGACCTTCACTCTGAAGGTGTTTTGGAACCATGAAATGCCTTAGGGAGGGAAATTCATGGTGAAAGTTGCATATCAAGAAGCTCTGATGCTGCAGTAGCATAGAAGACATGTTGGAGTATTTATTTATTTGTTTGTTTATTTTTGGCTTCGTTGGGTCTTCGTTTCTTGCTGCGCACGGGCCCTCTCCAGCTGCAGCGAGCGGGGGCCACTCTTCATTGTGGTGCGTGGACTTCTCATTGTGGTGGCTTCTCTTGTTGTGGAGTACGGGCTCTAGGCGCGCGGGCTTCAGTAGCTGTGTCACGCGGACTCAGTAGTTGTGGCTCTCGGGGTCTAGAGAGCAGGCTCAGTAGTTGTGGCGCAGGGGCCTAGTTGCTCTGCGGCATGTGGGATCTTCCCAGACCAGGGCTCGAATCCGCGTCCCCCACGCTGGCAGGTGGATTCTTAACCACTGCGCCACCCGGGAAGTCCCATGTTGGAGATCAAAATGCATCAAACAGGGATGAAGGCCTAGACTTAGACAGGAGCCAAGGGGTTGTAGGAGCAAGCACAGACCTGAGATATTCAGAGGGAATAACTGCTATGATTTGTTGGACTAAATGGATGTGGGCACGATGTTGATGGGGATTAAGGGTGGGCAGTGAAGGAGAAAGATATTTCAAGTGAATGCTAAGTTTGTGGCTTGGGTGACCAAGGGGATAACGGTATCATTCATCAAGATGGGAAATACAGATTGAATTGTCCTTCTGGAAGAGAGATTCTCACAGCATGTTTTGGACATAGAGAAGTACCTATAGGACATCCTAGTGGTGACAATGATCGGTCACCAGGCTTCACACACAGTGGGTGTTCGTT